ATTTTATTATAATTATTATTATTTGGTATCACTAAGAAAACAAAGCAAGTCAGGCAAACTTCTCAGCAAGTCACATAAATTCATACCTAATAGTAGGGGAAGAGAGAAAAAAAAAAAAAAAAAAAGATGAAGACAAAGTGATTGAAATGAAGGGTGTATCTTGATGTATCAGAAAACTTACATAATAAAATCCATCTTCATCAATTTCACCAAAAACAGTAATGATATCTCCCGTACAGAAGGTGAGCTCAGCCTGTAGAAATGGAGCATAGTCAGTACCGCTGTCCCGTAGAAAGCAGTCGCTCTGAGGAAATACGTTCCCTGTGGGGAAAACTGCCGAAGCAGCTGGCCTGACAGATAAGGACAGAGGTACCAAAGCTAAGGACTGGCCTTGGGAAAAGCTGGTACAACTCAAGACGCCGCCAAGCGAAAAGGGAAACGCAGAGGGTTTGGATTCTTGGGCACAATCCAGGTGCCACTGGTCCCCTCCTTTAACACTTCAGTGACACCTTTTGGACGGCTGCCTCTCCAAACTTGGGATGTGACAGTATGTTCTCTGCAGTGCAGGGACCCCTGTGTAAATTATTCCTTCTCTGTACATGAAAAGTCTTTACACAATTAAATGTGTATTAAGTGTCTCCTATGTACCAGGCATGAAAAATGATGGAGTACACTTTACATATGAAAGCCATCAGACATTGTATGTAAATTAACCGTGGCAGACATCTGTATCTACTCATAGAACCAAGAACTGCAGCGTGCCACGTACAGCAGAGACACTGCAACAGGGATGCGGATAATCGTGCCTAAGACAAGAGCTGCCTCTCAGAGGGAAGATGTAGTCTCTTGTTTCTGAAGGCAAGTAGTTTTCATCTTTGTAAAGCCAGAGACACTGCACGGTACCAGGCTATCTGTACAGGGATTGGCAGCCCTCTTCGTGTGTGTGAGGTCACACTGCTGCTGTTCACTGACTCTCTGGGTAGGCCTTTATTCATCTCTGAAATATGGCTCCGTTGGGCCATCATCAACGGACAGGGGTCAGACTGTCCTTTTATTGGTGGCGTGGGGGCTATCGGACCAGGATCTGTCAGTAATTGGTGGTTCTGAGAATGGCAGGGGCTCATGTCCTCTTACACTTGTCTGTCTACATACTGGCCACTAACTGGTCTGGTGGATGGATGGACGGATGGCTGCGTTCTCTGGCTGGTTCACAGCAGGATGAGATGGTTACAGTCCAGTGGTTCAGGGGTGGGCGTTTACAGCAGCCCTGCTGGTGGCGATACAGGGTGTGGGTCTGCCAAGGGTGGGGTTTGTGTTTGGCCAGTACCTCAACGTCAACATTAGGCGAGCTTTCCCGTGGGTCGTAATCATACAGGGCGACCATTCTTCGCGTAGGTACCGAATGCCGCCTGCCACTCCTTCTGTTTCTCTCTGTTGAAGTTACAAGGGGAAGAAAAGCTCCATTATAAATGTGTTTTCTAAATACTGGCGCCCCCCCATCTTCGTTGCCTGTGTGGTGGTAGAGTCAAGGCCTGTTTGGTTTCCAGAAGAGAGTCTCCCCATTCCATCTAGATTGTCAAATGGATGGCTACCGGATTGTCTCTAATAGTCCCTTGTATTAGCTTTTTAATATCTGTAGAGTCTGTAGTAGTGTCCCCTGTCATTCTGATATCTTGATGATTGCATTTTTTTCTGTTAGGCTATGGAATTACCATTTTTATTGATCTCTTCAAAGAAGCAATTTGGGGTTTCTATTTTCTATGTCCTCTGGTTTTTCTGGTTTCCATGTCATTGATTTCTGCTCTTTACTTCATTGTTTCCTCCCTTGTGTGTTTTCTGCATTCAATTTTTTTTTAATACTTTAAGGTAAAAGATTACACCAGAGGAAACACGTCATAATAATTCCTTTATGTCTGTTAGGGTTTTTGTTGTGGCCTAGGATAGGGTTTACTTTGGTGACTGTCTGATGTGCACTGGGAGTGAATGGGTTCACCCTGGTCAGTGGAGAGCTGATCAGAAGTTTATAGTGCTGACCTCTTGTGTCTGTTTAGTGCAGACCTGTGTCTGTCCAGATATTCTGGGTTTTTTGTTTTTGCTTTTTTGAGTCTCAGGACAGTTAAAATGTCCTGCTGGGATTGAGGGTTTCTCCAGGTCTTCTTTCAGTTCTGTCAGTTTTTGCTTCAGGTCCTTTGAAGCTCTTTCATTTGGTTCACAGGCATATGGAATGGTGGCGCAGCACCTAACGCATCTGACCACTAACCAGGAGGCCAACGGTTCAAACCCACCAGCCACTCCACGGAAGGAAGATTGGACAATCTACTTCTGTAGAAATATTGCCTCAGAAACCCAATGGGGGGTCACTATGAGTCGCACCTGACTCGGTGGCAATGAGTTTAGTGTTTCCTTTTTTTTTTCTGGTCTTAGTGAATTGACCCCTTTATTGAGATACAGTCTCCTTTTCTATCCCTGAAAATATTCCCTGTATTGAAGTCCACCTTGTCAGATATTTAATGTAACAACTACTTTTCTTTTGAGTATTGTTTGCACTGGTCATTTTTTCCTTATACTTTTACTTTCAGTCTGTTATTTGAGCTAGGTCTCTTGTATGTAGTTGCCTTTTTCTGTGATGATGGTCTTTCAATTGATTGGTTGTTGAAATCTCATTGAGTGCAGTAGTGTGCACAGCTGGCTTCAGGTCTGCCATCTTTCTAATGTCAGTGTCTTCTGCCTGCTTTGGGACTGAGCCACTTAAAAAGAATCATTTTAATCTCCATTTTTAGCTTATTTAGTCGTCATCTTTTTTTTCAGTTGTTGCCTAGGGTTTAAAATAGATATCTTTAATCACATCTACTGTAGATAATATCATAGCACTTCATGTGTAGCATAAGAACCAACACCTCTGTCTGCCTGTTTGTTACTGTCCTATGTTTTTCATAGGCTAGAAATATTTACCTATGAACCCACAATACATTGCTATTTTTTTTCCAGATAGTTGTCTTTTAGTATAATTTGAAAACAAGAAAAAAACTTTTGTATTTACCATCTGTGTACTGTTTATGTGCCACACTGCTTCTGAAAGAGGAGTAAAAGTACAGTCATGTGACCTGCCATTGAGAAGTTTCTGTTTGAGGCAGTGTGCAGTTACGGCCTTGGTGAGTGCTGGAATCCAAGGGCAAGTGAGGAGGGAAGAGAGGAAACACAGCACTTGTAAACTAACCAAACACAGCACTTGTAAACTAACCAACAGTCTCCTCTTTGGAGAAGCATTTCACTGTATAAGTTCACGAGTATAATTCACCACATTCATAGAGTGAGAAAAGAACCATGTGATCATCTCCACAGATTCAGAAAAGGCATTTGACTTCTAATTCAATGCCCTTTCATGAAAAAAAAAAAAAACAAGATAGGAAATTCTAGAGTATAAAGAAGGACATTTATGAAAGATGCATTGCTAACATACTCAACAGAGGAAGACTGAGCTGCTTCCTCTTTGAGAGTAAGACAGGATGCCTGTTCTCACAATGCTGCGCAACACTGTCTGGGAAGTCTTATCCCGAACAATCAGGCTAGAAAAGAAAGATACCTGCATTTGGGGAAGAAAGAAAACTAACCTGTTTTGCAGATGAAGAAGAGCTTGGCTGCTAACCAGAAGGTCAGTGGTTCAAACCTACCAGTTACTCTGCAGGAGAAAGAGGCATTCTGCTTCTGTAAAGATTTACAACCTTGGAAATCTATGGGGCAGTTCTACTCTGTCCTAAAAAAGGGTCACTGTGAGACGGAATCAACTTCATGGCTGTGGGTTTTTGCAGATGACATGATGTTACACATAGAAAACCCCAGCGACTACAGGAAAGCTACTGGACTTAAAATAATCCAAAGGGGCACAGTGACAAGGTCAACCCACACAAATCAGGTTTCTGTCCTTTTATGTATACAATCCTGCATTAGTGATGTTAACAAACATTAATCTATGGGCAAAGAGATGGGTAGACAGGCTGAATGATCAGGTCTGTCTAGACAAAGGGGAACATATCCACGACACATAGGTTGGCAGATGATATTTCTACATAGGTATTTGTATGTGCTGTAAGAATGTCCATTTAACTAGAACTAACAGGACAAAGTTATGATAACTTCTTAGGCACAATCACCCTGACACAGTAAGCTGTGGGACCATGGTCACGGGGGACATCAAGCGCAACATAATACACTATACAAAAACATTGTTTTACATCCTACCTTGGTGAGTAGTGACTGGGGTCTTAAAAGCTTGCAAGCGGCCATCTAGATGCAACAACGGGGTTCTCTTCATCCAGAGCAAAGAAGAATGAAGAAAACCAGAAACATGTGGAAACAATTAGTCCAAGGGACTAGTGGACCATGGGAACCTCAGGCTCAGTGACTCTGAGACCAATAGAACTAGATGGTGCCTGGTTACCACTGTCAACCAGTCAGAAAGAGACCCGTGCAGGAGTGGGAGAACAATGTGGGACAAACTCAAAATCATTTAAAAAAAAAAAAAAAAAAGTTTACTGGTCTTGATAGAGCCTGGT